TATCAGATTTGCACCATTTAAAAACAAAAACAAAACCAAAACACACAAGGTATTGTGAGCTCTTAGATATTTGTGTGTGCATGTATGTGTGTGTGTGTGTTTGTGTGTGTGTGTGTATATATATATATATACATACAAGTTTTAATTCTTGTCCCTTGATTTTGCACTTGAGGAAAGTATACACTCCCCGAACATGGCAACATTCTGAAAAGCTGTGTGCTGTGTATTTTCCAATTAAGATTGAAATCAGACATATAATCCACCTGTCAGCGAGGAACTGAGACTTGAAAAATCAAGGGGTGGTTGTTTGTTTTCTTTTTTAATTGTCCTACATCATTCTGTGTGGTTACACTTCATCTAGACAACTCAAACCAAAGTGGGAACACTGGCATCAAATAGATAGTGAAATACATTATTGGTTCAATCTGAAAGAACCCACTTTAAAAATAAAACACTCAGATTTGAGCTGTAGATTACCTTTGACTGTAAAGTACCTTGGCCCATCAAAAAGAGGAGATACGCAACATTCTCTACAGTCTCAGAATGCTCCTTGCCCTTTTAGAAAGCACAGGGCGTATCATAATGTCATAAGTCTTAAACCACATACTAAGAAACTTGGTTACTAAAGAAAAAGTTTGCCTTATTATTGTTGCAGTTAGCTACTTAGTTTCCCTTCTGACACACCCCAAACAGAAAGGGCACCTTTGAGGTCTGATCTTGCATTTCTGGCATACTCAAAACTTCCACTGAAATCCTTCAAAGTGTGGTGTACCTGGAGACTGAAGGATCAGCTCCCCCAGTTACTTTCTCATAATTCAGTGAAATCTTACCTAAAGATTTAGTTATATAACTAGAACTAAATTACTGTATTTTTTTTTCCATCTTCAAGATGTCAGAAATTTGCACAGACCATTCTTTGAGAAGGAATATATTAAAGAAATGTAAACTATCTAGGGGTCCAAAAGTACAAAATAAAAGTATCTCCTCATTTGAGAGCTGAAAGGTTTAATTCAGATTAATATTTCACTTCTGCAGCTAAGGCATCGAATTTCTAATCTGTCAACAGTCCTTTTATAAAAAAGAGACATATGTATATTTCTATCCATTTTTAATTATATTTTATAAATTATGATATGTATATAATCACATCTCAGCTGTAAATTGAGTAGAACATATAAACAAATATCAAAAAGCCTGAGGCCCTGATCCTGCTCCTGCTCCCACAAAAGCTAGTAGAAAGAGAGACATAAATTTCTATGGAAGAATTACTAGGCGTCAAAGTATGTTTGTGCTAGAGGAAGAATTGTGTGGCACCAAGTGAGGCCAGATACAAGAGAAATGTAATTAAAGTACAAAATCATATATGATACTTGAAAAAAAAAATAATTAAAATCTCCAAATTTTACAAGTATTACATTTTTCATGTTTGAACAGCTCAAAAGGAAAAAAAAATTGTCATTCCCAACAGATATTTTAGGCTGAACACAGAAAGCAGGATAGGGCCCTGAATCTTTATATTAAACAATAATGAATTGCCTGTGCTGGGAAGCTCAACTTGAACTGCAGTTGGAATAGTTTCTTTCCTCTTTTTTTTTTTTTTTTTTTTCCCTCGTAACTGATCTTGTTCAGCCAGGGCATAGCTGTAATTACCTTCTTCCCATCTACAGCTAATACCTCAGAGCAATAAAAAAATATGAGGGTGTTAAAAATTCAAACACTAATTATGGGCTGTTATATTTACTAAACACAGCAGAGTAATAACAAAAGTTTCAGCTTCTTGTGGCCAGCATTGCACTATTTGATCTAGCAAGTCCCCAGACCCTTTACGCTTACTGTATTACATAACAGTTAATAGTACACTAAAATAAAATTTGATAAACACATTTATTACCAAACACATAGACCACAACCACTTACAGCTGTCTCCTTTTTCCAGCACAGGTATATCTCTGAAGAGTTCATTCCTTTGTTGGTTTTGTTTTTGGTTTCAAATTAAGTTACAGAAATAGTAGAGCAGTAGATTTTGAGAAGAGAGGCATGCACTATTTGACCGCCCCTTTCAAAGTCTTATAGTAAATATTAGCTAATCCTACAATTCCCTATTACTTTCCCTTATGTCTGTTTTGAGGTCTAGCAAAGGAATAGAAGTGAGAGCTGCCTTAGTTCCTAGTTCAGCACCGCCACTGTCACCGCTACAACCCCCCGAATTCACATTAAACAAACACAGTGTAGCTTTATACCACTTAATAAGAATAGGTGTATGGATTTTTGGGGTGTCAAACAGCTGTCACAAACTGTGACGTCCACAAGAGAAACCTTGGCATACAACAAATTAACCTGCACTTCTTTTTGGCTATCATTATTCATAGCCAATCAGTTGAAAAGCTGCTAGTATTTCATGTGCAAATAAAACCATGAGGGGAAGACCCATGGATCAGAATAGTGGGCCAATGCGTGAATCAGAGGAAACAACATGCTGTCTCTGTCCTTCTGAAGTGGCTCATCATCACCCCTGCACCAACTTTCACCAAATGAGATCTAGCCTGAGGCTACGTATTAAATATGCATATCAAAGCAAATGAAAAAATAAACCTGGAGAGTTAAATTGGACAAATTTGCATGCTTGAACTACCACATTTTCAGGTAGATGCTCACAGATGATAGCTCATTTTTTGATAGTCTTGCATGTTTATATTAGTAATTTTTAAAAAGCTTTTCCTTCTTTACGAATAAAAGTAAATTTCTTCATGCTGAAGCCTTGTACAGTGCAAATGTAAATGTGTACACACACGGTAGTTTGGCTGAGCTATAAAAGAGTGTTAAAGTTTTGTTGGGAAAACAAGCTAATACACACACACACACACACACAAATCCAATAAGGAGACACATTTCCCAAAACGCATGAATAAAATGTAACTATGTGATACAACTCTTCATTTCCCAGTTGGTGTTCTGGATGCACAAATTATTGCTTCCTTTCAAAACAAATAGCAGGGGGCTAAAGTAAAAATGTTATAGCTCAAATCCTCAGGAAATAAAAGGCTTTAAATTATAATACCCAATGAAGTGGTAAACCCTAACGGGTGCAAGATAAATGGGTTGTCATATTTATTTGAGTTTGTGTTTTGGGCCACAAAAGCAAGAGGAGATTCTTCTTAAGGAAGATAATAGTTATTAAATTATCAAAATGCTAACCCACTCCACCCCTGTCCTATCATTGTGTGTGAATTTAAGTATTATAAAGGAGGACTGCAAATTGGCTTGAGCATTTGCCATCTGCCAGAACCCTAAACAGGCTAGTTTATCTAATCTCCTCAATATAAACATAAGCATGCTCCATTTCTACACTTCCACTTGAAACGCACACTTGTAAAGAAACTGTACTGGACAAAAATGGACTTTTTTGGTTTCTTTTTCTTTTTTTTTTTCTGTTGCTCTGAGTGACCCCCTATCTTTCAGGTTGCCACTCATTACACTTTGTTTTCCATTACTTTTACAGAATACTTATGTACATGAATTTAAGGTTGTACGATGCCATACACCATGAGTGTAATGCCTTGTGGAGTTTATTAGCTATGTCTGAGACAGCTGATAAGCAGAGAAACTTTCAGGAACCTCTGCATACATTTTTGTTTTCTCTCAAAATAATAGATTCTAAATGTGGCAAAAAAAATGATGGCAAAAACCTTGTCCTGCAATGTTTACTGAATACAAATGAGAAAATGAAAGCTAAGGCTTAGGTCCAAAACTATTTCCCGAGCTCTGAAACTAAGCTGTGCCAGAAGGGAGGCATTTAGAAGAATTTATTATCATTCTATCTCCCAACTCAGCTTCAGTCCAGGTCTAATGTAATTATCAAATACACACACAAACAATATGTTTTCAAAGGAAACAAAAGCTCCTAGAAAGCTCACTCTCCCTGGGTTTAGAGCTACTCTTCTTAACACACTGGGAAATAAAGGCAGGCGCCTGTGCAGAAAGCATGCTTAACTTCACACCGGGTGTTAAATTAATATTTCAACCGCCAAAATATTAGTCTATCATTTAAATTATGAGTTCAATTGAACCTAAAGCTGCGTAAACCCCTTTTCCCCCCAGGGATGCCTTCCTATAAATAAACTAGAGTTCACACCCACTCTTTTTAACCAGAGCTATTCCTTCCCTTTTCTGCGGTACCAGCTGCAATCTCTCACTTCACATCCCGAAGTCTCTCTGCGTCTGCATCTTTTGAAGGATCACAGGAGCTGCTCCAAAACCCGGAAAAAACAAAGGCACTCTCCTTACCACGCACACCAACTTTCAGTCCTACACACGTAACACTAATTCGCCAACTCCTAAAGTGTTAAAATCAACCACTAACCTACGGTTACTCAACCATCATTCTCTCCAGCTTTCTGTAATACATTGTTAATAATTGCTTCATCAAGGTTACTGTCTTTTATTATGAAGATGCTTCAGGCATTTGGCAATAAGTCCATATTCTGACAATAAGTTGCTATAAAGCACAAGCATTGGAAACTCTAATGTGCTAACCCCTTCTTTCTAATGCAGTGTAGTATTGCCAATAATTCTCATCACTTGTCATCCCCACGAGAGGGGAGGGGGGAGCAAACCAGCAAACTTTCTCCCTAACTTTCTTGTCTCTGTTTCCTTACATTGCTGCCTCCATGACAGAGTTGGCAGAGAAGAAGGGAAAGCACCGATCCCCACATCAAACCGACAGTTTGCTAGCTCTCCAAGCCGCCCAGACCAGGAAACTTTACAACCCATTGCAAACTCGCTACTTTACAGATGGAAACAGAAGGAACCTTTTGCATTTCTACAACTTTACAAAGCGAGAGGGAAGAAAGTGTAAAGGTTGGATCTGAGCTTGCAAGAGGTTATAGGAGTAATAATGATACTACTAACAGACAACAGCAGCAAAACAGTGAAATCGGGGATGGATCCTCTAAGAAAGTTAAAGCCTTAAAAAGTGCCATCAGGAAATCAGAAGGACTTACATGATCGGCTAAATTTGTGGAAGATCCTGAGAGTTCTTCGTGGTCTGATTTGGAGCTGCCATCCCTTTCATCAATAACGAGGTCTATTGGCATTTTTCCTTTCAAACAACTAATGTACCGATGGCAGAAGTTATCGCACAATTCATGAACCTGAAAACAGTAACAACAATAATAGTATCAATAATGGAAAATATCAGATTGCAATTTTTTTTTTTTTTTCCTGGTAGCAAGAACAACCCTTTAGTCTATTCCACAAGTAACTCTAATTAAGGGGCACAATAGTTGAAGGCAAGGAAACAATAGAGAAATTGTTGCAGCACATATTATTCTCTAGAGACTTGCCGCAGCAACAAGTTAGAGAGGAGAGATAGTGGGCTCAGTCTGGTGTGCAGAGGAAAATCCGATTTGGTGATAACAACAGAACACTGCGAGCTGGACCCAGGCGGTATCTCCCGAGCATACACAGCCCAGACAGGTACAACTAGTCACTCGGGACGGGATCGGTTTAAACCGGGGCCAGGAAAAGGTCTAAGTGGCCGGGAGCAGAAAAGCAAAGCCACTCTCTGAGGCTGTGGGAAGAGCTGTTCTCGTCCCAGGGCACAGCCCCCTCCCCACGCCGCGCAGGGCCCCCTGCCTCTTCCAAACATTTAGTGCCTGCTTGAGGTTAATATGCTTGCCGGAGCTGGGAAAAGGCAGGACTGCTTTCATTTCTCTTTCTGTTAAACATGTCATTTCCGAGTCAGGAGAAGAGCTTCTGCTGAGGAAGGGGGTAAGAAGGATGGAAGGGGTTTAATAATACATACATTTAATGACTCAGTTGAAATTACGCTGAAAAAAAATAATAACAATGCCGAGCTGGGCTGGGTATGGCTGTCGGGTGTCACATGCTCTGATGGCACAGGTTACAGTATCACACTGCGTTCTCCCTATCTCCTCTGGCCATGGCTACAAGTCATCTCAGTC